ACCAAGCGGCGCACTGTAGCAGTGCGCCACCGGGCCGGCCCCTATTTCTCTTATTTCTGAGGGTCTTTGCTCTTGGCCTTTTCCACCAACTGTCACTTGGTGTTGATGGCTGTTTCCCAGTTACTGGCTACCTGTGGGTTTGATTGCCATGGTAACCTCCAGCGTGTAGCTGGACAGGCCTGAATGCAGGCAGTATGAATCCAGGATAAGGGTGGGAGATGCGGGGCTCAGGCCCTAGGTATTTTCTCCTGTTACAAGGCCCTCTTTGGCCAGTTCAATTGGGTATTCATGAAGGTGCTTGGGGCTCCAGTTGTTACTGATGTATTTGCCAGAAGGAGCAAAGATGGACTCCTGCTCTGGGGACCAAGTGCTGGGGGAGGGAGCCAGGTTGGACCAGAGTAAGGAGCTGTCTATCCTTACTCTGAGGCTGGTCTATAAAGACAGGTGAGACAGTGCTCCTGCTTTCTGTAGCCCTCACTCCTTCTAGGTTGCCTTTTGAATGCTGTTTGCTGGCTGGCCAGCCGTTTGAGTTGTACAGCATCTGAAAACAAGTCAGGCAGATCAGCCTGCTTCTGGCAGAGGCCAGCTGGTGAGAGTTTCTTGGAGCAACTGGGAGAAACTGCCCACACTCAGCTCTTTCCTCAGCCCTGGAATAGCCCTCCTTTCCTCTATTTTGTAATTGAGGTGAGAGTCCTAACTGTGCAGGTGCCTGTTCCCCTTTAAAATATATAGAACCGGGCTGACCCGTGGTTCACTTGGGAGAGTGTGGTGCTGATAACACCAAGGCCACTGGCTTGGATCCCTATATAGGGATGGCCGGTTAGCTCACTTGGGAGAGTGTGGTGCTAACACGACCAAGTCAAGGGTTAAGACCCCCTTACTGGTCATCTTTTAAAAAACAAAACATAAAACCTGACAATATGGACAAACTAGGGAGTGGAGGTGTGAATTTGTCTTTCCAAAGGGTTGGCTGTAGGACTGCTTGAAGAGGTGCAGATCTCCAGGTATGGCAGTACAGTTGGAGTCACACCCAGGTTTCCTGGGTATCACTGTCAAGGGCTGATCTCTGGAAAACTTGGAAGGGTCAGTCTACACAAGAGCAGAGAAGAGCTGAGGGACCCTGCACCTCCAGCCCCTCACTGCCTGTCCTTAGTGAGGTCTTCATATACTGAAATCAGGAGCCCAGCTTTTGAAGCAAAGGATCCCAGTTCTGAGACTGTGAGGTCAGGAAGGACAGCTGTTTCATTGGCTCTGCATGCTATGTTGAAATTTATCATTCACTCAGTAAACCTTCTCCAAGAGTGTGCAGTAGGGACCTAGGAGGGAATGAATTGAACACTGTCCCCCGCTCCAAAGCTTATGGTCCAAGACTACTTTCAAGGATCAAGGAACTTGTCCAGGGAGATACTGCTGTTTGTAATCACAGGCCTGCCTAGCCTAGAGCCTGGACTGGCATCTGCATCAGTGGGAAAAAGGTGCTCTTGCTACCAAGCAGCTCAGTTCTCAGCAGCAGTGAGCTCTTGGGTGTGTGCCAAGTCTGTACGGGAGGTGCTAGTGAGGATTTTAATTAATACTGGGTAATTACCAGGTGGTGCTTAACCATCCCAAAGCCCTTCAGGTTCACAAGCCTACAGCTAGTCACTTCCTGACTGGGCCTGGGAAGAAGAGGGAGGACTCTGCTATGCCCGCAGGGCCTTTGGTCGGCACCTAGGCTGTGGCATGCACATCCCAGCAAGGTTTCCACCATTTTCTATTTCCTTAAAATCTGGTGGGACAAGGCAAGCAACTTGGGAAATAAATAGCCTGGCCTCTCAAGTTCATGTATGCCTCCTCTCCATGGGCAAAGGATAACACTGCCTTATGATTTGCTCAACTTCATCAAGCATTGCTGGCCCAGGATGGAGTGTGGGGAGAGTAGGGGTGTACCGGCCTAGACCTGGGGACCCTGGTGGGAGTGCTTAAGAGGAGGAACAGGCACAGAGGTCGTTCCTGCTCTGGGCTTTATTCCCTTTTCTCAGTGTACAAGTTTGCTCTTCCAAGCTTATTTATCTGCCTGTGGCCCTCAAATTACTATTGCATTGAAACTCCTACTTCCTACAAGGCCTTTTCCGTTTGACATCTCACAGACTTCCTGGCAGACACCTAAGGATCCTATGGTCATTCCACCATTCCACCTGGCAGCAAGGGTAAACCTGACTCGACCAGGCCTTTGCTCTTGCTGTGCTCTGTGATCGGAATGGCTTTCCTCCAGATCTTCCTATGGTCGGGTCCTGCTCAGGCCTCTGGGTCAGCTTGAATGTCACCTCCTAAAGTGGGCCCTCTTGCCCTCCACCACAGCCAGAACCATACTCCGTCTGGCTGCGTCCTTAGCGCTCAGTAAATGCCGGCAAACAGGAGGCTCTTAGTGTGTGTTAAAAAAATAAATAAATGAAAGATCTTCATGACTACGAGTAGACCACTCGTCACCCAATTCCTGAGTTCCTTGCTGGGAGTCTGCAGTCTTGCCCCGCGCCTCCTACCCACGGACGGGCTGCCCAGCGGCGCACGCGCACTGGAGATCGGCACTCAGCGGGGGCGCGCACGCCTGCGGCCGCATGCGTCACAAACCGAGCGCCCGCCCCACCCGTCCCTCTCTCTTGCCCGTCGCCCAGCGGCGCACGCGCACTGGAGATCGGCACTCAGCGGGGGCGCGCACGCCTGCGGCCGCATGCGTCACAAACCGAGCGCCCGCCCCACCCGTCCCTCTCTCTTGCCCGTCGGTCCTGTCTGCGGCGACGGCGGCCCAGTGACAGCGGCGGCGGTGCCAGACCCGCCGAGGGTTTCGTGGCCGGGAAACGCAGAACCGGCCAAAGAGTGGCGCGACACGAAGAAGACCGGACTAGGGCTGCGCTTGAGGGGACCTCGCAGGCGCCGAGCGAGAGGCCGGCGTGAGGGAGCGCGGAGGCAGTGTTCGCCGGCGTACCTGATCTGCCGGTCTCCGCGCCCGCCGCCGGCATGAGCCACATCCAGATCCCACCGGGGCTCACGGAGCTGCTGCAGGGCTACACCGTGGAGGTGCTGCGGCAGCAACCGCCTGACCTCATCGACTTCGCAGTAGACTACTTCACCCGCCAGCGGGAGGCCCGCGCCCAAGCCTCAGTCCCGCCTGCTGCCCCTCCTTCGGACTTCCACACGCCTGAGCCCGGCCCTGACACTGTCGCCGACGCGAACACAGAGAGCGACTCGGAGGACGACGCGGACTTGGAAGGTAGGAGGCGGGCGGGGTGGAGGTTGGTGGTGGGTGACTGAGGGAGTGGTGCAAGGACTCTCTTTAGGAGGTCCGGGGTGGGGGGCAGTGCGTCTTTAGCAGACCTGGGAACTCTCTAGCGGGAGTTTCTCGGGTTTCCCTGAGCCGCCGGCGTGAAAACGCGTGCGCCACTTCCAAACAGAGTTCGGCGGCCCTCCGAACCCTAGAGCTCATGGAGGGATTTGTCACATTTCAGCCTTGAAGGAAACGTGCGCGCTTTGGGCCCTCGTGGTGGTGCGAGCCCGAGAGGTGTGGAGCCCAACTCGGCCCCGCCAGAGAATCCCTCGCCTCTTTTTGAGACCCTTCGCATGGTCTGGTTTCGAGGACAAGAGCATTCACATTCAGTGACTCGTGTTTAATAACCAGAACGGCAACTTCGTTTGGAAATAATTTATTTTTTGAAAAGTTATTGCGAAAAACTTTTAAGCATAGACAAAAGAAAGGAAAGGTGAGATAAACCCGTCTACCATCACCAGCATTCGGCAGTTGTCAGTTTTTGTCATCTATACTTTTTTTCTTTTCCTTTTTCGAAGTATTTAAAGCAAATCTGAGTCAGGTCATTTCACCCCTGCTTACTTCAGTATGCATTTCTTTCATATGGTCCCTGGGAATATTCCTTAAAAAAAAAATTAGTTAAAAACGATTGAATCAAATTGGGTTGAGAGTAAATAATAACTATCTTGTTTAGTGTGTGGGTTGCAGGAAAGAAAAGTAACACTTTCTACATATCATTTAAGCAATGATGTCAAGAAGCAATTCTGTTTTCTTTGGTTGCTTCAACTTATGCTTTGTCAATTTAACAATAGACTTATCCTGCTTTTGAACAGCCAAAATTTAACAAAACAATGAAAACATTTGAGAGACAAAGTTAGAGTCAGTGTTTGTTATTAGATCACGCTGGGGAAAAAAAAAAAAAGTTCTAAATTGATTCCAGTTTGGCCGCACATTCAAGTCACAGCTGGCAAGGAGTTAATTAATGGTCATTGCTGTAGATTGTAAGCTTCAGTGCACTGGGCAGTGTCCCTAAGTTTATTCATGCTTAAAGAGTGGAAATTGCTCTTCCGTGTTTCTCTAACTTTTTGCACGTTATATGGCTTTTTTTTTTTTTTTTTTTTTAAATCGGAGATTTCTGAAATAAGAAGTTATTTTCCAAATCTCTGCCACAGGGTTGTTTTGTGGTCTTGGGCAAGTTGTCAAACCTGTTTGATTTCAGATTTTCTTATCTTTAAAATGAGGGCAGTGACAACAATCTCCCAGGGATAAATGTGTTTTTAAAAGCTTTATTTCAGGAGTGACTCCTAGGTTTGTTTCACAGTCATCTCTATAAATCACAAAGCCGTAAACCTGCTTTGTGACAATATTTATTTACACAAACATTAGTATTTTAGAAATTAGTCCTAGATAAGTAAAACAGAATTTACAGGTTTTTGTATTATGTTTTAATTCTTTGTCATTTTTAATCTTTTTCAAAATTGGAGTGACTTAAAATCTTTGTAACCTTGTGTTCTATTTTGTTGGTATTTAAATATTTTTTATTTAAAATAGAGGTGTAATTTAAACCCTTAAAATTTTTTTTGTTTTGTTTATGTCTTAAAGTGGACTTACAAATAATAGGCTGAAAATAAATTGCACACATTGCGTTACCCCTTCATACCATTAGGATAGCTATTATTTTAAAAAAACAATCAAACAGCAGAAAATAACCAGGATGTAGAGAAGTTGGGGCCCTTTCTCATTGCTCAGGAGCAATATAAAAAATGATCCAGCTGCTGTGGAAAACAGTTTGGTGGTTCTTCAAAAAGTTAAACGTAGAATTACCATATGGTGGAACAATTCCACTCCCAGATATATACCCAAAAGAATAAAAAGTGGGGAGTTAAGCAAATAATTGTACACCGATGTTCATGCAGCGTTGTTCATAATAGCCAAAAGGTGGAAACAACCCAAGTGTTCATCAGTAGATAAATGGGAAAACAAAATGTGGTCTATACACAATGGAATATTATTTAGCCTAAAAAAGGAATGAAATTCTGATACATGCTACAACATGGTGACTATACAGCATTGAAAGCGTTATTCTAAATGAAATAAACCAGATACAAAAGGACAAATATTGTACAATTTCACTTATAGGAGGTACATAGGATAGGCAAATTCATAGGGACAGAGAGTAATAGAATAGAGGTTACCAGGGGCTAGGGGGAAGGGAGTAATGTGGTACTCTTGTGCAGTGGGTACAGAGTTTCTGTTTGGGATGATGAAAAAGGTCAGGAGTTGGATAGTGGTGATGGTTGTTCAACATTGTGAATGTACTTAATGCCTTTGAATTGTAAACTTAAAAATGATTAAAATGGTGTGGTTAAAAATGTTCTGTATGTTATGTGTATTTTACCATAATTAAAAAAGACAGAAAAAGAAAAAATAATCTTTCAAATACAGTGACAATATTAGGATAATAAGTCCACACTACTTAAATTAGAAATAGGATAGGTAGTATTAGAACTGTATATAGCAAGGATGCTTTGCTTAGTAGGGTCCTTGTGGTTAACCACCAATTCAGTTTATAACATTATGTACAATTGTAAAGAATAAAAAAACTTATTAGCTGTTATTAGTTTATTTTAATAACAGCTTTGATATCAAACAATACACCAAAGTATAAAGTATTATGAATATCTAACTGTTGAGAAAGCCTGAACTGTACAGACTTATTAATAAGTTACTCTAACTACATAAGAGCAATAAATTGGCCTTTAGACTCAAGTCACTTCTGTAATTACCATAAGGCATTTATACTTGTGGATTTCCTAGCCTTTTTTTGGTAACAGCTTTACGGAGATATAATTTGCATACCATACAAGTCACCCATTTAAAGTGTATAATTCAGTGGTTTTTAATATGTTCACTTATATGTGCAACCACCATCACAATTTTGGAACATTTTCATCACCACAAAAAGAAACCCCATATACCTTAGCCATCACCCACCAACACCCTTATTCCCTCATCACTAGGCAACCTCTAATCTACTTTCTGTCTCCATCCATTTAGCTATTTTGGATATTTCATATATAGTCAGTCCTCAATATCTGTGTTTTCTGCAACCACAGAGTCTGCATCCACGGATTCAACCAACTGCAGATCAAAAATATTCAGAAAAAAGGGCCGGCCTGTTGCGCACTTGGGAGAGTGCGGTGCTGATAACACCAAGGCCCCGGGTTCGGATCCCCTATAGGGATGGCCGGTTAGCTCGCTGGCTGAGCGTGGTGCTGACAACACCAAGTCAAGGGTTAAGATCCCCTTACCGGTCATTTTTATAAAAAACAAAAACAAAAACAAAACATTCAATGTTAATAGCTGTTCGTATATGTGACTCTGACCATCTATGAGGTCCTCATTACTACCTGCACCCAAATTATCTTTAGAGTGTATAATAGTATTCCTGTTTATTGTAAGGTATCACATATACAAAAATTAACCAGAATAACTCATTGTCAAAAGATTCTAAACATATGCTCAATGGTTTCACCTTCTGGAATACACTTGGTATATATTCTTCAACTACAAACAAAGGTATAGAAACACTCTACACAATACTAACTTGCTACAATTAAGTAATTCAAGGAATGAGGGGAAAAAAGTAATGTACTGATTACAGGGTCCTGAAAGAAAATACAAAATTCAGAAAAAAGAAGAAAAACAGTACAACAATAAAAAAACACACACAAAAAAATACAGTATGACAACTATTTATATAGTATTTACATTGTATTGGGTATTATAAGTAATCTAGAGATGATTTAAAATATACAGTAGGATGTGCATAGGTTATATGCAAATACTATTCCATTTTATATAACGGACTTGAGCATCTGGGATTTTGGTATCCGAGGTGGGGGTAGGTTCTAGAACCAATGCCCTGCAGATACCAAGGGACAACTAAAAACAGAATGATACGGGCCGGCCCAGTGGCGCACTGGAGAGTGTGCCGCTTGGGAGTGTGGCGGTGCTCCCGCCGAGGGTTCGGATCCCATGTGGAGACCGGTTCCCGCTCACTGGCTGAGCACGGTGCGGGCGCAACACCGAGGGTTGCGATCCCGTTGCCGGTCCCCGGTACGGGCGCGACACCAAGGGTTGCGATCCCGTTACCGGTCACGAAAAAAGACAAGAAGGAAAAAAAAAAAAAAAGAACTGCTTTTGCTATTTCCCACAGGTTCTGGTATGTTGTGTTTTCATTTTCATTTGTCTCCTGGTCTTTCACTCCCGGCACTTAGCGTAATGTTTTCAAGATTTGTGTTGTAGTATATATCAGTACTTCGTTCCTTCTTATTGCTGAATACTGTTCTATTTGGATATACACATTTTGTTTAGCCATTCATCGGTTGATGGACATTTAGATTGTTTCTACTTTTTGACTATTTTGAGTAATGCTGCTATGACCATTCATGTGTATAAATTTGTATGTAGACATATGTTTTCATTTATTTTGGGTGTATACCTAGGAGTAGAATTGCTAGGCCATATGGTAAATGTGTTTAACCCTTTGAGGAATTGCCAGACTATTTTCCAAAGTGGCTGAACCATTTTACATTCCAGCCAGCAGTGTATTGGGGGTTCTAATTCCTCCACATCCTTGTCAACACTTACTGTCTGTACTGTTGGTCCTTTGTATGTCTTCTTTGGAGAATTGTCTATTCTAGTTCTTTGTCCATTTTTAAATTGGGTTGTCTTTTTATTTTTGAGTTGTAGAAGTTCTTTATATATATTAGATTCAAATCCTCTATCAGATAATATTTACAAATATTTTCTCCCATTCAGTGGGTTGTCTTTTTACTTTTTTTTTTTTCCCTTTTTTTTTTCTTTTTTTTTTTTTTGTGACCGGCAACGGATCGCAACCCTCAGTGTCGCGCCCGCACCGGACTGGGACCGGCTACGGGATCGCAACCCTCAGTGCTGCCCCC